GCATCTTATTTTTCTGTCACTTATGGTTTGGAATCATTTTAATGTTTTTATTATATCAATATTTGTAATAGTAAATATTTTTAATATGTCAACTTATCTCATAAGTTAGTACATTTAAAACCTCTATCACAGGGGTGGCCAACAGTTTTTGCCCCCGGGCCGAATTGGAAAGAAAACTTTTTCCACGGGCCGAACCAGAGGCTGCCCTAGGAAGATTTTGAGGTGGTGCGAAATCTCATTGCGGTGTCACCCCATAGAGACTAAATTGTACATAGAGATTACAGATACATTTTTCACATTATCATGCTTTATCAACATTCTATGGTGTACTTATGAGATTTGTAATGGAGGGTTAAATCTAAATGTACAGTGAGTTGTTGACCTTTTTTTTTCTTTTGGCGTCAGAATTTTTCATTGACCTATTCAGATTTGAGTAGCTAATATTGAAAGATTGATTGCGGGCCACATAAATTCATTAGATGGGCTGGATACAGCCCGTGGGTTGTATGTTGGCCATGTCTGCTCTATCATATATGTGGTCTGTTGTTAAGAACATTAAATGGCACATATATGTATAAGCAATTAATAAGACTATTCTGTAAAACATTTTAAAGTTTATCTGACAAAAAGTAATGCCAGAAGTTATCTGGTACATTTATATGTGAACATATGGATAAGGCTTGTTATATTTTTAAATGTANGCGTTTAATGGTTTCCAGATGATGAGAACAATGTACAGTAAGGGCACAAAGTGTGAGATTCATAGAAAAGTTTTCCTAAGAATATTTCCAATCCTTTTCTCACACCAGAGAAAATGGGTTAGGGGGCGTTGGGTATAACTTTATGGAACAAAGGGGACGGTGGATCGAAAAAGTTTGAGAATCACTGCTTTAAATGATATAATTGCTTCAAAAATAAATATATTATAACTATACTAAATTAAAATTAATGAGTGATTCATTAAAACTTGCATGTTCATTCTTATATCTGAGAATCATACAAACTAAGATTATCATATTTACAATTTTATCAACATCTATTATTTCTATCAGATGAATGCTATAATTGCTTCAAAAATAAATCATTAATAACTATACTAAATTAAAATTAATGAGTGATTCATTAAAACTTGCATGTTCATTCTTATATCTGAGTATCATCATCAGATCATCGTTCCGTACTATTTACAGAACGATGATCTGATGAGTCAATAAGTATACATGATTTAGAATAAAAAGTGTAAATCATCATAAATAATACAAATCAGTAAAAGATTAATATCTAAAAAATGATTCAAATATATAACTGAGTAAAATATAATTATTATAAATTAGGTTTCCACCATTTGTGTTTATCTCCAGTGAAATTGCATCACCATGGTCCAAGTGCAGCTCTGAATGAGGCAGTTAGGATCTTATCATAGCTGTAAACCATACCCATAAAAGTCAAAGAAACTTATGGTCCACATATGATCCCTTTGTGAGACAGCCTCCCAAAATCAGTTGAGTGGATGCTTGTTAAACATGATTGTATCCTGAAAGTAGTTGATGAAATAGTTTTTCTCACATTTTATGAGCTTTTAGCAATCTCTAGTAAAGTGGAAAACAGTTGGTTTTTTAGCATCATTTTGAAAAATAGTTTCAATTTTTTTTCATTTATAAATTGTATCCATTTTTGAGGATCTTCAAAATTCCAGACATAGCATCCCCAAAATCTGCCTATTTCTCAAAAGGTTAAATGTAGACACTTGGTTCCTTTAACTTTTTTACTCTTGTGAGCATAGTCTACAGATCTAATAAGGTCTCAACTGCTTCATTTGTACTAGTGTCATCATTGTATTTATTCAAGAGTTGCCAATAAAATAAATTTTACACTAATTTTATTCTGTTTGTATAATGATTTCATTAATAATTTTAACAATGTATTAAGTAACTAAAAGCAAATTTTCCACTTGATTTTAAATAAAATAATTACAAGTGTCACATTCCAAACTGTAGTTTTATTCTGGTAATGTGATTGCCAGATCACATTACCAGATATGGCTGAACTAGCATTACTCATACTGTGAATCAACATTTAAAACATGTATCATTTTTTAAATTCAATTTACTGATCTATAACTCTATATTGAAGTTCATTTTGTTGCTATTAAATATCACATCCATATAATATTTAATTATTCTATATAACAGCAAAACAGATACACATGCAGCTCTGAATGAAGCAGACAAGATCTTATCTGAGCTGTAGACTTTGCCCACTAGAGTAAAAATAGCAAAGGAACTGAACAGCCTATCAGGAATTTTGAAAACACTCAAAAATAAAGTAAAATTTAGAAGTAAATAACATCTAGAATCATGCTAAAATGCAATTATTTTTCACTTTGCTGAGGCAGCTAAAAGCTCATAAAACACAAAACACCACTGCACTGACTACTTCCAGAGTGCAATTGAAGTTGAAATGCCTGCTCCATTAAGCCTATTGCATGTTTATAGACTGATTTCAAGGGCTATATGAGGCTGTCCATAAATGACGTCCATATTGAAAGGGAGGGATGGGATTACGGAAACTTAGACAAACTGGCACAGAGAGGGGGAGTAAAAATTTCAAGAAAAATGAAAACAATTTATGGGTAGCTCTTATCTTGTGAACAGTCACATGTAGACCATTAGTTCCTTTGACATTTTTTACTCCTTTGGGCAGGGTCTACAGCTTTAATAAGGTCCCAACTGTCTCATTCAGAGCTGAAATTTTACCCAAAATCTCTATTGTGATATGTACAGATATACTGTATATAAATAGTATAACATCATTCACTTGAATAAATATACATTACAATTTTATAGTTATTTAAATTTTGAATTCTTTTAATATTATATAATAAAATAAAGACACTGAGTTCAGCATTACATGCATATGTTTTTTATCACAAGCACTTTTGACGAACTTATAGTTGTCGTCCTCAGGCAAATACAGAGATTTACCAAAAAATTAAACAGAAATAATCCGATGTAGAATAGAATGCATAAAATATAACTATTATCGAAAGTGCTTGCGATAAAAAAACGTATGCATGTAACGCTGAACTCAGTGTCTTTATTTTATTATACAATATTTTGGCGTGATAGTCATCCTATTGATTATTTTAATATTAATTTTTAAACTATATTCTAAAAGCCATTACACATTTCAAGAAACAAACAACAAAGATACAAAACTGAAAATTAACAACAACAGAAGCTATTTCATTTTATTTTATGCATTCAATTTATTATGATAAAGAAATTTTATACTGAGCAGTAACAAAATAATTTAAACATCAGAAAAATCATATACTATGACTAATAAGATGTCATAGCTAATACTGCCATAAAAATAAATAATCAATAATAATGAGAAACAACTGACACAATTATTAATCCACTATATAACCTTCTAGGTGGATGCCCTTTCCATTTATGTAATCAAGCAGAAACCAGAAGTGAAAAAGGAGGACAAAAACATCACAAGTATGGAAATTGTAGTAAAACTCAACATGAACTTACGACACAGTTTTCTTTCCTCATTACCATATTTGTGAGAGTGAAAACAAATTAACTGAAAAAAAAAAACTGGAAAAATTTTTAAAAATTACTAATACAATAAAGCAGTTCAAATTATCACGTTTCATTTTCTAAATTTTAAATTTGAATTGTATTTCACACAAGAATTTTTGAATCTAACTATTCAAGTAGAATTTATTGTTTGACAGTTTATTTAATACTGTATAGTAGTTTGCACTCGGCCAATACTAAATGTGCCTATTTTATAAATGGTGTTACAAGAAGAGATACTTCTGTGGTAATTTTGATACACACACAAGTACTTATGCTATGCAAATTTTATCACTTATAACACATGATTTTTCCTGGAAAAGATCATTTCTGTAAACAAATACAAATCTTCTTTAGCTTCAGTGATGATTGGGAAAGTAAGAAAGGACTAAAAAAGCAATCTGTGGATTTAATAGTCAGTCACGCGTATTTTTCAGTCTTGGGATTTGAGGTTCAAGTTCCAAGCAAGTTTAACCAAACCCCAAAATGAGCTAAAAAAATCAGTAGAGAAAAGTTTTGATAGAGTACAGGTCAACATTCAAAACTCTAGTTCCTTCCGATTTCCAGTACGGATTTCGAAGAGCATTTTCAAATTTACCACATCGGCGCACCAGTTTTCTGGAGGTGCCTAACTAAAATTCTGTAAAACTCTTTTATTTAGTTAATGAACATTAAAATTTCATTTGCTTTTCATTTAATGATTAATTTTCTTTCTTTAAATGACTATACAGCATTCATTTTCTGTTAAATACATACAGCATACGTAACTATAAAAAAATCCAGCACTCCTCAGGTCTGGAGGTTGCTGGATTTTTCATCATCAGCATGTATACTAACCATAGGGTCACCTTATCTCCCCTAAAAAAAAAAACAGTTAGTATTGACCAGGGAAATCTCTCATCACGCAAACTACATAGGCATTGTTCTAATTTAAAGTAATTTAGCTAATTAATATTATTATAAAGCAGCTACAACTGTGTAAACTTCATTAATTAAATATTTTTCACAGCAAATACTGGAATGGACTTTATTGCAAATCACAAAATCAACTTATACATCAATTCCAATTCAAAATTATTACTGGATCCAAAAAAAGTACTCTTTATCCATAGATGGAACCATTTTGAATTCCTTTAGGCAATTATTCTTAGAACATTTGTTTGTATCCATATAAGTAGTTTCTATTAATCATCAATAACTTAAATTTAAAGTCAAACAAATCTATTAAAACATCCGATAACGTATCAGGGAAGTTTTCCCGCTTTCGGAGCGTATTTTTAGCTGAATTTATCGATTCAAGGCCACTCGACTCATAAGAGAAGTTTGTTTATCAACACACGCAAAGATTATTTAAATGCCTGCTTGACAGTTACGTCATTTTGCTAGGCCTAAATTAAGGTACGTCACCTTTTCGGAGTACGCATAAAATCGTCGTTGTCTTCCGAATCGGAGCATTTTTCGCAATCGTCCACTTTTCTTTTCCTATAAATTTGCCCATAATATGGCANATATTTTTAAAACGTCTTACATTTTACTTCGTTCAAAAGCTTATAAATTAGGTTAACAATACACTTGTCCGCAATAATCGCAAATATTTTGTTACGTGAAACAATATTTTGTCTATTGTTAACAATTTTTGTTACCGTAGAAGGATTTGATATTTATTGGGAAAATAAATTATAATTTCTCAAAACTTTACTTTAAAAATTCCATATGACATTTCGAAAAATATTAATGACATTGTTATAAATATTTTTATATATTTCGATTTTTTAACCAAATGTTCGAACCGTTTTAAATTCGAATTTGTTATTGCATATTGGTTCGATTATAGAACGATTGTAAACGTTCCAGAAAATTGATCAAATTGAAAACAGTTCGTTTGATTCTCGGCAATTCTCATCATTCTCGGCGGTAGGTGTTATATAACAATGACTGTGATTGTGTAAGAACGCCGATTGAGGGGAGATTTTTATTCCCTACCGTCGGGATGGTCTAAGGCAGTTCTTAGCGTTTGTGGGTGGCGGTTTTTAAAGGCAGCAAAGACAAGTGTTTACAAAGGTAAACCGTTTATTCCGGACGATAATGCTTACATAAAGTCTTTCGTTGACAAAGTCCTGTGTTATAGGAAAACTTCGACGTCGGTACCGGTCTTGCGTCGTCGGTAATTTCGGCGGCAATCTGGTCCAGCGTCGTAGGGGCCCCTTTTGACAGTGTTGAGAGAAAAAAGTTCAAAGTCTCTAAAGTCGGTGCACAAAAAGAAGAACAGAGGTACAAAAATAAGCGGAGATATACGAACACAACAGAAGTCTTGGTGGAAGTCTTAGTGGAAGTCCCGTTTTCTTTGAATTTTGCATTTTTATAGGGTTTTTGCGATCGGCTTCTTACTAATTGGATAGATCTTACATCACTGTTTTCCAATTGGTCATCCACCTGTCTCCAGGTGTAAATGGAGCTTCGTAAAGTTCGCGTGAAAGGTCGGCTGGAGATGGTTTATCCGACACCATCTTTTCGAATCTGATCGCGTTTAATTGTTGACTATGACACCTTTGCTCATCTAGTCATTTTTTTTATCTAGTTTCGTTTTGCTTTCTAAACTGCGTCTTAACTTTTAATATTTTAGATTTTCTTCTTTTATATCTAAAATTTTGTTTTTCCCGTTATTCTTTATGAGCGTCGACGTCAAAGTCCGGTGTCGCCATTTCGACACTTATAATTTGCTTTCCTGACGATTTAACATAACAAATTTTTACATATCTTTCCTTTTTTTAGGGGGAGGGGCTATTTCCAGGGCCTCACAGTTGTTTAAATACCAAATATAAATGGGGTTTGCTTGCAAAATCTGCGCGGGCGAAGTCGCGGGTAACAGCTAATCGTTAATAAACAGGGTAATAGCCTGATAGTCAATTGGTTAGGATGGTTGCTTACACCTCTGAAAGATTCGCAAAGCTCAAGAAATTCATCGAGGTGGGATCCATCCGAATAAGTCGGGCCATTCCTAAAAAAAGCCCTCTCAGCACCCAAAAGGCGAAAAGAATTTTATATGTATAGTGTTATTGTAGGTAAAGAGGTGTTCAAAACTTTGTAGAAAGGACTATTAGGCAAATCTTAACCAATTTTGGCTATAAAANAATTAATTAATCCGATCGTTTTAGATCAAAGTTAGGGATGAAACAACTTCTTCCCTAACTTTGTCACGTGATGTATATAGGGAAATCTTTTCGTCTTTTTATTTTTTTTTTTAAATTAATTCTTTTAACAGCAAAAATAAAATTTGTCGTCTTGTTTTTGTGTAAAAGTAAATATTATTTTCGTTTGTTCGAGATGTTTTAAATATTTTTAATTTTTGACACTAGAGTGCTTACTTAATTTGCATAAGTTGACTTTCCGGAAAAGATAATTAGTATTTACAATTAATTAATTTTTGTATAATATTTATTGTAACAGCAAAAATAAAATTAGTCGTCTTGTTTTTGTGTAAAAATAAATATTATTTTCGTGTTTAATTCTATAACAAATAAATGAGAGATGTTTTAAATAATTTTAATTTTTGACACTATAGTGCNTTCGTTTTTTTATTTTTTTTTAAATTAATTCTTTTAACAGCAAAAATAAAATTAGTCGTCTTGTTTTTGTGTAAAAATAAATATTATTTTCGTGTTTAATTCTATAACAAATAAATGAGAGATGTTTTAAATAATTTTAATTTTTGACACTATAGTGCTTACTTAATTTGCATAAGTTGACTTTCCGGAAAAAATAATTAGTACTGTATTTACAATTAACTAATTTTTGTATCATATTTATTGGCATTTTATAGTTAAGTTATTGTTCCAAATGTTGGAAATTATTTTAATAACAGAACTTCTGGTTATATATATACAGTAGATCCCCCTATAAGACGGTAGATACGTTCCGTTCTTTATGAATCAATTTTGTAGGAATCATATTTTACGGACTACGGCTGTTTGAANATCCGACCACAGATGATCAACTTCGAATGCGTTCGTTAATGGCGGTCGCTCTGCGCTCCGCTACTACGGGAGTGCGCTGCTGTTTGTAGGCATTTAGGAACGACGGTGAAAGAAAAAAATGGCGTCGCCCGTACTATAAATAGTGTCTTAATGGAGAGATCTATGATCTTGAAATATGCGTTTTTATGAACAAAAGAAGGGTCCCAATTGTAAAATTTAACCATAAAATAGATTATCTCTCCGATGAAGCATCGAAAAAAATTCGAAGACACTTACATAACCGCGTGCACTAATTCGCGCTTTTACAACTTCAAAATTTTCATTCATACAACCACATAATGGATCCCGAAACGAAACTATCAAAGCCACGGAGGACGCCATATTGTTTTCCACCTTGAACTACTATTACATGTGGCCGTTTTTGCCGTCCGACGAAGGGCACTCCGGTCGAAATATAGGAACGCATCACGCAAGAATTTTTAAACGAATGCCGCTGGCGCAGAGTTACGCGGAGGAATAAAAGAACGCACTCTTGCTGTATTTCCTGTGTTAAAGAAAGTCGAAGGCCCGACCAATCAACGACAGGACTATCGATTTAATAATATTTGTTAACTTTGTTTATTCGTCATATAAATTCAAATAACGTTACAACAATCGCTTCAAAATTTTACTTTACTTTTACTGTTAAAATATTCATTTTTTAAAACTTCTATTTTATTTAATAATTCAGCTTTAACTTTGATTTCGTTGTGCAATAAAGTGTAGATCATATTCTTTTCGGTCAATAACCCCTTAGTAGAAATAAATATTTTTAGATATTTAATTACATTTAGATATAAAAATAATGATAATTAAAATTACAAACATTTAATTGATTTGTTTTCATTGTAATTAAACGATAGGTTTCATTAAAATTTCTAAATATATCCAGGTTTTTCTCTCTTCCCGTTAGCAAAAGGTAAACTTCGTCTTGAATTATTTCATTTTCAAACATTTTAAAATTTTGCGCCATTTTTTTCATTTGTATCTGGTGTGTATATTCTAAAAGACGTTTATTTACTTCTTCCAATTCATGTTTACGTTCATTTATTTCCTATGGTAAAGAATTTCAAAATAATTAAAAGATTCTTTATTATGTGAAGAAAATTTGAAATTTCTTGTAGGAATATTCATTTATATTAAACTTGTGTTGTGAAAAAGTAAGCTCTAGTTATTGATTGTTGAGTAGTTAACCAGCTTATGGCCGATGCAGATAAAAAAAAGACGAATAATGCGGAGATTGAAGATAGGGCATTTCCCGTGCAGTCAAGCACGTCAATGTGTTCCATATGCAGAGCCATGAAAAGGCAGTTGCAGAGGGGGTAGAGCAGAGGAGACACGGGTAGAGTGAAACGAGATGTTGGGGTGATAAAATCCAAAACTTGTTACATGGACAAACTAATAAATTCATAGAAATTCACACAAAAGGAGAAGGAAGTAACAAGGTAGAGAAAGAAACTTCTGCTTTTTTTGGTAGACGAAGAACCGAGGAGTAGGAAGATTCCTTTTAGTGGAATGGGATTAAGCTTCCAAATGCATGTACTGTACTGTACCATAAGTCTAGTAAAGATTATTGTTCTAGTATATTGGTGTGGTCTTTGTCAGACAACGAACGTACAGGGGAATCCATGGTTACAGGTTTGATTTCTACAAACATTTAATAACAAAAAATACCCGAATTATCTTCCATTGATCTGTATTTTTAGGATTAATAATATTATCTTCTAATGAATCCAAACATGATCGTCCCTCTTCCATCGTGATATAATCATCTTTTAAGTGCCTTATGAGTTCTTTCTCGGATTCTTTATTTACATGTAAAACTTCGACTCCAGAAGAAGCCTGTTCCAGTTCTAATCTTAACCAAGTAACATCTTCCTTGGCTTTATATATTTCTCTTTTGGTATATTCTAAAACTTTACATTCTTCACTCTCTTGGTCTTTTAACTTTAGCAGTAAGTTTTCCAAGCGTGATAATTTAGTTATCAGTTTTTCCGTTGTTTCACTTTCCTGGAAAATTTTTAAATTTAAATAATTTAATGTGATTTAAAATATATTTAAAAACAAAAAGACTTACCTGGGTAAGACTCTTCTTCACTAAAGATATTTCTTTATCTTTATCTCTGACTTTTCTTTGAAGATCATTTATGTCATGTAACAATAATTCAAATTTCTTGTTTAATTCTTCTTTTTGTTTAGTTCTCATCTCTAATTCTTTCGTTTTTTTGCTCATTTCATTGCGTTGTTTGTCGTATAACAATCTTCTTCTATTTTTTTCGTTCGTGTAAATGGCCAGCTGATTCTTCAACGAGTTTCTTTTCTTTATCGCTGACTGTATCTTATCTTGTAAATGATGCATTGTCACCTGAAATATAATAATCAATAATTCCTTTAAAAATTTTAATTACAATTAAAATATAATGCTGCATTAATACAGGATGGTGGTAAAGTATCTTATTAACCAACTAACGGCGATTTCTGGAGCGCGGAAAGAGAGGATAGCATATTTCAGTATGTTGTTCATGTTAATTACGTAATAAATGTTAGAGTCATGCATAAATTGCATAAGTGATTCGTTAAAGCGAAGTATTATTTCCTATGGGTTTATGGCATGGCTTAATTGTAAGCAGCCATATATTTCAATAAACTTGAAAACATGGCAATCGAGAGGAGGAAAGCTGAAATTTTTCCCTAGATTCGAAGAAATGTTAGAGGCCCCGTAATGATTCCTACTCCTATAAAATTAACGTTATTTTTATTAATTAACAGAAAATAAAATATTTAAAACTGCTTTTTATTAATAAACATTCTATGTATTTCATTTATTTAAAAAACAAAAGGATAAAAAGATCCGCTAAAAAGCAAAAGAGACACGGTTAATCTTTCGATAGCCTTGATCGAAAATACACGATTGAGAGTGAAGAATGATTCCAAATTCGGGAAAATCCGGATTATTTTCGAGCAAATATTCCTCACTAAGAGAAGACATAAATGTTTCTTCTTAATGAGGAATCTTTTATCGGTGGAAAAGAATACGTTTCCTTAGTGAGAGAGGACCTTCAAGGGACGAGTGGATAAAACCACTAAACACTGGTAGTTGTCGTGGTTATTTCCAGTTTTCTTCACGTGTCTAACACCTGAATAGGAAACAGCATCCCATAGAAACTCCTTCCGGGAACTACCACCCTCGGCAGATCGTCCAATCCCGTTGTGAAAGATGTATATTCACATTTCGATCCAAAGGAATCTATGCTGGAATTCAATGAGGAGATACTTTTGAGTCTCCTCGTCGAATTTTATGAATCTCGAAATCCATGGAATACAAATATTAATTAATCTTAGTGAGGGATCTCTTTCCAAATTCGTCAGTTTTCGGAATCATCCGAAAAACAATTTCAGAAAAGATGGACTTTTGTGGAATTTCATTAGACGTACTTAGACGTACATGAATCAAATATCCACATTGAATGAGAATTTAAAAATAAAAAATAAGTAAAAAACAAATGTATTCTTACTCGATTGTCTTGAGAATTTGCCATAATTGCATCCCGGGATTGAGAAACTTTAATCTGTTGTTCTTGTAACTTCATAAAATGATGTCTTTTCAATTCTTTGACATTTTTACTATTTTTCAATTTATTTGATATACTTGCCGCTTCATTTTTGGCATTTTGTAACTTTAAAATAATAAAATTTAGTAAGTATAATTATATAACTAGTGCGTTTTAAGTAATTGTATTATAAATGTAGCAAATAAGTGTAATAAGTGTATTGATGAATGACGCTGGATGGACGAAGCCATTAAGGCTTAAGCCTACTGGCTTACGATTATGATTCTGGGTACCCGAGATCGAATCCAGCCTCTTCCTTGTAGGGTTGGCTAAATTCATGTAAGTATAGCGTAGTAAATATTATAAGTATAACATTGAAAGTATTATGACTACAGTGTCTTAAATAAGCATTTATAGTATTTGACTGCATATTTCTATGGGAGACCAGCAGAGGCGGATCTAAGTTTTTTTGGGGCCTAGGGCTTTATTGAAGTCCAATGGGTCCCCATTTTTTAATACAAATAATACTATAAATTATTATTATTATTATATTATTAACATTAACTATTTTTACTATACAATAAGTGCTAATTGTTAATAAAAAAAAGTATTAAAAATTTATGATAATAATTCAAGTTTTGTGAGGCCTTGACACCTGGGGCCCAGGGCTAAATCCCTATTAGTTCCTATGTAGATCGTCCCTGGGGACCAGGATAGCTCCATCCCAAAACATTTTTCAGGAAATCTCCAGGAATTTTTAAAGATGGTCTCTCCTGATATATCGGACCCCGTTCCTCACAATTCGGCCGCCCCATTGTAACCCGTCGTATCGTACCCATAACAGCATTGCTTAAAAAAGGTCCCGTTGAACGGAAAGAGTTCAAAATAGCATAGTATTTGACGACCGGATGGTCGTCAAATACTATGCTATTCTGGGTACCCAAGGAATTTCCATGGGTGGTTCGTCACGTAAATATCGGCCCGATATTTCCGTGACGAACGGTCGCTTTCGTAGTAGACCCGACCAAAATCACAATGGTAAAAGGCCCCTTTAGTGCCTACAGAGTGGAAAGTTAAAAATAAAATACAAGGTATACAGTAGTATTAATTAATTGTAACTATAATTATACCGCATTTAACAGTATCATATATTCTCTATTGAACGCGATTGTATTTATTTCTGATTTCTTCAATTGTTTTTGAAAAGTATCCTTTTGTAATCTTTCTCGTTTTAAACTGTTTTGAAGCGCTTCTTCTTTATTTTGACTAATTTTTAAATAGCTCGTTTCGTTTTCTTTTCCTACTTTGGCTTTTTTTATTTCCTATAAGAACAATATAAATTATTAAAATTAAAATTGCAATCGAAATTTACGTATTTGAACGAAATACTTGCTTTGTCTAAATTTATATTCTGTTTTCTCAAATCTTCTATGCTGTTTTGAAACTCAAAGCATACTTTTTTCAATGATGCAATTTCTTTGGATTTTTTCGACATAACAGATTGTTTCATTTCGTTCCATTTATCTTTCACTTCTTTTTTATGTTCCAAGTAAGATATATTCTTCTCAATTACGTACACTTCTTTATTTTGATTATTAATTTGTTCTTTTAGAATTTTCATTTCATCTTCTTGATCCTTTAACGTTTAAATATTTTATTTTATAAATTAAGTTCTAGTAAATTCTGATTACACACTAAAGATTATCCAAAGCAATCCCTAACGCAAGAGGGCATTAACATAAAACATTAGCAAATTTAGACCTAACTTAATGAGCACACTGGTGACCGAGTGATCATTGAATACTGATCGCATTCTATACTTGTAATATAATTTAAGAGAAATGTTCTATATTCTACCATTTCTTCTTCCAGATACACTTCTACTCAGTTAGAGAGAATAGTTGATAAGTTAATCGTTAATGGCGATGGCTCTGCGTTCCGCTACTACGGGAGTGCTCTGCTGTTTGCAGGCATTTAGGAACAACGGTAAAAGAAAAAAAATGGCGGCGCCCGTACTATAAATAGTGTCGTAATGGAGAGATCTATGATTTTTAAAATATGCGTTTTTACCAACAAAAGAAGGGACCAAATTTTAAAATTTAACCATAAAATAGATTATCTCGCCGACGGAGCATTAAAAAAAGTTAGAATGCCGGCTTTCATTCGAAAAAAATTCGAAGAAAATTCTTACATGGCCGCGTGCACTAATTCGCGCTTTTACAACTTCAAAATTTTCATTCATACAACCACATAATGGATCCCGAAACGAAACCATCGGAGCCACGGAGGACGCCGTGTTGTTTTCCACCTTAAACTACTATTACATGTGGCCGTTTTAGCCGTCCGACAAAGGGCACTCCGGTCGAAATAGAGGAATGCATCACGCAAGAATTTTTAAGCGAATGCCGCTGGCGCATAGTTACGCAGAGGAATAAAAGAACGCACTCTTTCTGTATTTCCTGTGTTAATTACAAGAGAGTGTTGTAAACAAAGTACACAAGAAGATTAGTTTTTGCTGGAAAAGAACAAGCATTTTCAATTATATCATACTTTAAGAAAATTTTTATATGCGAGGATTAGCGTACTTGTTCATGGACATAAATTATTTAAAATGATTATTTTTTTTTTAACTGAGATGTGGTCAAAATTATATGTTGACATATAACAGACGTCGTAAAAGCTGAAAACCTTTCAATTAATATTAAATATAGATTCTACTTAATTCATGACTAAAGACTTTTTAACAATCCAAAACAATTATTACTGATTTAACAATTGTTAATTGTTCACAAGTAAAACGTTATCGAAGATATGGCGACTAAAAGATTAAGAGAAATGTCAAAAAATGATGAAATTTTCGAAGAAAATATGATTAGCGATCGTCTTAAAAGTGAGATCGATCAGTTAAAGAATAATCAATTAAAACTTTATAATCAAGGATTAGAATTAACAAACAAGTTGAAAGAAACTGATAGACTTTTGGATGAATCCATGAATGACACGATCATTTTTCAAAGATTAAAAGAGTTGGAAT